GATAAAGCTACCCATTTCATTATGTATGAAGTCAATTTTTTTATTAGAGTTAAAATTAACATAAATATATGACCGAACCTAACCAACCCTACCTAACCTAACCTAACCTATCTTTATAGGTTAGGTTAGGTTAGGTAGCCGAAAAAGTTAGGTTAGGTAGGTTAGGTAGTCGAAAATCAATTAATTCATGAAAACTTGGCTTATTAGGCAAATCGGGCCTTGCATAGTAGGCTGAGAAGTGCATTCTGGCTACTAGGTACGACATATATATATATAATATATATATATATATATATATATATATATATATATATATATATATATATATATATATATATATATATATATATATATATATATATATATATATATATATATATATATATATATATATATATATATATATATATATATATATATATATATATATATATATATATATATATATATAGCCCTCCGCCTTGGTGCCCCAATTCACACTGAATACAAGTGTATTTGCAACAGGGTGGAAGCAGACCAATACGGACTGCATGGGTTGCATTGCGGAAGCACAAAGGGCTGGCATGCAAGACACAACGAGGTCAATGACATCATCAAGAGAAGCCTCGTCTCAGCTGGGTGCCCAGCGGAGAGAGAACCTCGCATCCTAGGGGTCCAAAACCCGGATTTCCCCGCACTTCGCCCTGATGGCATCACCATATACCCATGGAAGGAGGGTAGACAGTTGGTGTGGGACTACACATGTGTATCCACCCTGGCTGACACCTATGTACACTTCGGAGCTGATCAAGCAGGTGGGGCGGCCAACCACAGGGAAACATCAAAATCACTCAAGTACAGGCGACTGGAAGGTCAATACCTCTTTGTTCCCATAGCGTCTGAGACGCATGGCCCCTGGGGCAAGAGTGCCTTGGGATTTCTCAAGGAATTGGGTTCCAGGCTCATTGACGTCACCAGAGACCTAAGGGCTTCCAGTTTTTTATTTCAGCGTCTCAGTGTGGCGATCCAGAGGGGAAATGCTTGCTGCGTCCTCGGTTCCTGTCCAGAAGCGGAGGAGCTTCAAGAGATCCATAACCTTTAGGCATTTGTCTTGTATGTTTTGTAACCTTTAAATACACAATAAAGGAAAAAAAAAAGGGGGGAAGGGGTGGTAGGAGAAAAGCACACAGAAACTGTATTGGAGGGGACCTACATTCCCTCCAATGCGTTATGTGTGGTTTCCTCCGAGGCTATGGGTCCCCCTTCTTCCAGCCAGAGGTGGTACTCCCCTTCCCTATTAAAAAAAAAATATATATATATATATATATATATATATATATATATATATATATATATATATATATATATATATATATATATATATATATATATATATATATATATATATGTCGTACCTAGTAGCCAGAACTCACTTCTCAGCCTACTATTCAAGGCCCGATTTGCCTAATAAGCCAAGTTTTCCTGAATTAATATATTTACTATAATTTTTTTCTTATGAAATGATAAAGCAACCCTTTTCTCTATGTATGAGGTCAATTTTTTTTTATTGGAGTTAAAATTAACGTAGATATATGACCGAACCTAACCAACCCTACCTAACCTAACCTAACCTATATTTATAGGTAAGGTTAGGTTAGGTAGCCAAAAAAGCTAGGTTAGGTTAGGTTAGGTAGGTTAGGTAGACGAAAAAACATTAATTCATGAAAACTTGGCTTATTAGGCAAATCGGGCCTTGAATAGTAGGCTGAGAAGTGCGTTCTGGCTATTAGGTACGACATATATATATATATATATATATATATATATATATATATATATATATATATATATATATATATATATATATATATGCGAACAAGCCTGAATGGCTTGTTCGCATCTCATAGTAACACAAACCAGTCATATATATATTCTCTGAACGCTCTTTATTTCATTCTGCCAGACTATGGGTCCCCACAGTTATACCAGAGGTGGTACCCCTTTACATACAGTACACAAACTAGGCGAGTATATACATATTAGACAAACTTTTTATTCTAAGATTAGGTCTATTTAAAAACGAATCATGTTCTAAACTTATAACCCGTAAGGAATTTAATGTTATATTGTTAATCAATCACTAGTCTATTATTTATATTACTATGGAACATGCAGTATAAATGACTTCTAATTATTTAATAGCACGCTTCACCAAATCCCAGTCGAAAGTTAAATATTATACATATACATGTATATATGTAATACATGATAAGTAATAAAATGTTTCGAAAGTTTTTCTAATCCTATTAGTTCAACTATCAAACATTGGGTGGTGGCAGCAGTGCTAGTCAGGGGTGGGAGGTGGCGGGGGGAAGTTAACATTGGGAGGTAGGGGGTGATAGCCGAAGCAGTCAACACTGGATGATGGCGGTGACAAGTACTCCATGGGAGGGGGTGAGGGTTAATTTCAAGTGTATATGTGGTGGTTCGGCAGCAATCAACTGTGTGGGAGAGGAGGTGGTGGTGGCCACAGTCGGCATTGGGAGGTAGTAGTAAATTCCTGCACAGGTCACTAACTAGCCTAGCCTTGATGAAATCCCCACCCCCTCCCCTACCCACAGGTCACTGGCCTAGCCTTGATGAAATCCTCCCCCCCCCCCACGGTATTTTACGTTAAATGCTATTTCATTTGCTGTAGTTTTTAGACCTACTTTAATAGCTTTGATTTTTATTGGAAATGTTAATGCAAAGACAAACTGCCCACCGAAAAATACAGGCCAAAATTTTGGGAAAATTAAAATAAATCTAGGAAAAAAGTTGCACAACAACTTGCAAAAGAGAGAACTGGATAAGCACCTCCAAAGGATACCCGATCAACCAAGCTGTGACTCATACGTCAGGCTGCGAGCAGCCGCGTCCAACAGCCTGGTTGATCAGTCCAGCAACCAGGAGGCCTGGTCGACGACCGGGCCGCGGGGACACTAAGCCCCGGAAGCACCTCAAGGTAACCTCAAGGTAACGTTCGTCGAAAATATAAATAGCAAAACCGTTCCTACAACAATTATGAATTATGTTAAAGTTCTCGACCTATTATATTAGTAAACTCTATACAAAATTCTGAGCATTTACACGCCATTCTTTTCTTGTCTTTCTAAAATAAGTGAAAAATACCATTACTACCATCAGGTTATCTTAAGATGATTTCGGGGCTTAGTGTCCCCGCGGCCCGTCCTCCACCAGGCCTCCACCTCCAGGAAGCAGCCCGTGACAGCTGAGTAACTCCCAGGTACCTATTTACTGCTAGGTAACAGAAGCATCAGGGTGAAAAAAAACTGCCAATTGTTTCTCGCCGGCGCCCGGGATCGAACCCGGGACCAAAGGATCTGTTCAGCCATCGGCTCCCTTTAAAAACCTTTCAAAACTAAAAAATCTAAAATCAGGACATCTGTTTACCCCAATCTTTACATTGTGTATAAAATACACATTTTCCATTTTTGGAAAAATTGCGCATACAGTATTTGCGTTGAAATCCTGTCAAAATGTCACATTAACCCACTATAGGCCTATGTAACCCTGAAACCGACCACGTTCGCATTAACTATATATATGGCTGTAACAAGGCGCTGACCAATACTTAGGCGGCTTCAATACTAATGTTGCGAATAATGCCCTTAACACTGGTTTTTCAGTATTAAATAATATACAATATAAAGATCATATTTACATCAATTTATAAGGGAAAACACTAGTTATATATAGTTTATATAATTCTCAGTAAACCAATTTTTCCATATCACCGAGCACGAGTCGTAAACCCCAAATGTTATACTCGATCCTGCCTCGCAAGAACTTCAATATTTTGTCTACTGAGTAACCCTCCTGCCTGCCTATCCACACACACAAAAAATGTAACCAGAAAGTAGCATAATTACTGTATTCTTAATTTTCTTGCATTTTATGTCAATATGAAACACTAAAACCTTCATTAAATCCACTCTAATGCTTGGGGTCCACAAAGTTTAAAAGTGCCTGTAATCCCGTTTACAAGAACAACTTTTTGCTTATAGTAATAAAATCTATGTATATTATTCTCAATTTCAGTACATTAGTCACACCTATTGTCCTTAATGCCCAACATCAACAACCTATTGTTTGTAGGGAGGGTCTCATGAATATAGCGATACCTGAGACATATGTCTCATGAATATAGCCATACAACAGCTCACGTTGTTCAGGGACAATAAATTTAACATGAAGGTTTGCCCATATTACGCGCCAGTTAAAGTGTAGATATGCCTCTAGATATCTACTCTAGGAATTATATGTGGGAGCAGAGCATCATACCCATGTTTACTGTTCATCATTAAAAACCTTCCTGAGGTTAAAAAAATTATAAAAATTAAAAAAAATCTGCCTGAGAACATCAATTGCACAAGAATAAAAAGTGAAGTGAAATAACACAGTAGTAACACACTTAAGAATTATACATTAATAAATACAAATTTGTTCTTCATTTATGGTAGAGGAAAGTCTACTTGGAAGGATTCAATTTACACGAGATTAAGATTAGGATACAAATATATCTAGCAATACGGTATTGATATCCATGACAAAGGTGTCAATTATGTAGCACTCCCGCACTCCCACACCTTAGATCATTATGTATTAGTGTCAGCTTATTGATAATTATAGAAATAAGGAAATAAGTAGTGTACCACATCAAATTGAGGGACTTGAAGTAGAGGGGGGGGGGGGGGGGTAGAAACAGCCTAAGCTACTTTATCCCTTTGAGATGTATTATCTTGTCCCAATAAACGTACTTGAAGGTGGAACAATAAACTCGTACCCTTAACACTAACCGAAATATGTCCCTCTGGTCAATTGAAGTTGATTGATTGATTGATAAAGATTAAGCCACCCAAGAGGTGGCACGGGCATGAATAGCCCGTAAAAACAAATTGAAGTAAACTGTCTTCATACATATACCTAAGGCACAACTGAGCACACAAGTACGGGCTCACCTGTAAGGGCTCTACCCCAGCAGGTGGGGTCGGCTCGGGTGGGGTCGGCTCGGGTGGGGTCAGCCAGGCCAGCGTCAGCTCGGGAGGAGTCGACCCGGACGGCGAGCACTTGGGTGGGGTCAGCCAGGCTGGGGTCTGCTCGGGAGGGGTCAATCTGGACGGAATTAGTTCATGTGGGGTCAGCCAAGCCGGTGACAGCTCTGGAGGGGTCACCTCGAGTAAGGTCAGCCAGGACGGGGTCAGCTCTGGCAGGGCCAGCCCGGATGGGGTCAGCTCTGGCAGGGCCAGCCCGGATGGGGTCAGCTCTGGCAGGGCCAGCCCGGATGGGGTCAGCTCTGGCAGGGCCAGCCCGGACGGGGTCAACTCTGGCAGGGCCAGCCAGGACGGGGTCAGCTCTGGCAGGGCCAGCCCGGATGGGGTCAGCTCTGGCAGGGCCAACCCGGATGGGGTCAACTCTGGCAGGGCCAGCCCAGACGGGGTCAACTCTGGCAGGGCCAGCCCGGATGGGGTCAACTCTGGCAGGGCCAGCCCAGACGGGGTCAACTCTGGCAGGGCCAGCCCGGATGGGGTCAACTCTGGCAGGGCCAGCCCAGACGGGGTCAGCTCTGGCAGGGCCAGCCCAGACGGGGTCAGCTCTGGCAGGGCCAGCCCAGACGGGGTCAACCAGACCGGGGTCACCTCAGCCGGGGTCAACTCTAGCGAGGAGAGCGCAGTCGGGATCAGCCAGGAGGCCGAGGTCAGCCCAACCAACTCCAGCTCAGACGGAGTTAACCACGCCGAAGTCGGCGTAATCTCCATCTTCACAAACCGCTAGTATCTAATCCTTCAAATCAAAATAATACTATATATTCAAGTCCATACTTCCTTTAAAACGTCTAAAGTGACACTGTATACCCGTGAACAACGCGCACACATCACGACACTATAAAAACATTGCAACATGAAGACGAAACCACAAACACGTCCGCCCCCTCCAACTGCCTTCCATTAACTGACACTTTTTCCCACCAAGTTTCCCGCCAAACGCAGAGGCATCTAGAAAGACACTACTTGATTGGTCAGTTATTGCATGTTAGGGCGCAGCTGATTGGTGCATCTCGGTCTAAAGCCACGGATACCCGCCTGGCAACACTCCTGACCTGTCAACAACAAGGTGTTACGGGGGTCACATGACCCTTCCAGTCTCCTTGTTTGTTGTTTTCATATTCTAGTATTATTGATAAATAAAACGCGTCGATAAACAAAAAATACTGAAATAAATCGGTGTTTTGTGAGCCTTTTTTTAATATTTAGCAATGTAATGTCTTTATCTTCTGATAGGTTATTATTTTCCTTGTTGTCCCTTACATATCTATCTGATTATACGTTTTAAAAAATAACGTGACACATATTTCCCACAATTATTAGTTCGTGAGTATCAGTGTATTTTTTTTATGCCATTCACCACTGGTGAAGTCAACACCTCGCTGGGTGACGTCCAGAGTACACACTTCGCTGGGTGACGTCAAGAGTACACACTTCGCTGGGTGACGTCAAGAGTACACACTTCGCTGGGTGACGTCAAGAGTACACACTTCGCTGGGTGACGTCAAAAGAGTACACACCTCGCTGGGTGACGTCAAGAGTACACACCTCGCTGGGTGACGTCAAAAGAGTACACATCAACGCTGGGTGAAGGAAACAATTCTTCTTCAATACACAGAACGTAAGTTCAAACCCTCATCACGGCCCCTGAGGATTTATTCAATTCTTCTTTATGGTACACGCAGTTTCTGTGAAGTTTTCATCTCTGCTCCTCTCAACACTGGAGCGTCAATGTGGTTATTTTTGTTTTGCTTAGTCTTGGATACTGTTGCTTCCCCACTGACGAAGCCTAGGCAGCCTACCATATTAAGGCTTTGACATGATCAAAATAAAATGTATGTAAATCAATACAACAACACTTTGTAATCTCGGCCGGGACATAAATAGTTGGGGCACGTTTCGTTTCATCTAATGCCTCTGTTTACCTAGCAGACACTATGTACCTGGGAGTTAGGCAACCTGGAGGATTATCTTGAGATTATCTTGAGATGATTTCGGGGCTTTAGTGTCCCCGCGGCCCGGTCCTCGACCAGGCCTCCACCCCCAGGAAGCAGCCCGTGACAGCTGACTAACTCCCAGGTACCTATTTACTGCTAGGTAACAGGGGCATTCAGGGTGAAAGAAACTTTGCCCATTTGTTTCTGCCTCGTGCGGGAATCGAACCCGCGCCACAGAATTACGAGTCCTGCGCGCTATCCACCAGGCTACGAGGCCCCCATCCCCATCCCCCTACGAGGATGGGGATGGGTCAGTAATACGACCTTCGGGGAGGACCTAACGAGGACCTAGCTTGGGTATACAAGTTTGTATACCCAAGCTTCCTGCTCCCGATAAAATGAATGAACTGTAAAGTTACTGAGCACAGGTGTGTTGAAATTAATAATAATAATAATAAATAATAATAATAATAATAATAATAATAACTATTTACTCTTTGTATTCAAATCTTATTTCAGTTTGAAATTACTGATATAATATTGATCTATATTTAAGAAAATGATTTTGAATACACAGTATGTTAAAGTTGATGTCTGGGTCTCTGGGGGCAGGGCGCCGCTTGGACGAGCCTAGCCAGAGGAGAGGTTGTGGGTATCGTCTTTCATTCATAAATGAGGGTTTGACGTCTGGATTAGCGAGAACCGGGACTTAGTTTACGAGTACGGGCTGATGTTTTGTGGAAAATCTGATATAGTGAACCTGTATTACCTCACCTGTACCCTGTATTCACACCGAGAGGTGTATCTTATTTCTCGGTGTATAGACACTTAAGAGTTTACTAAATTAGTCCTGGACTACGTTCATGACTAAAGTATACTTGCTGGGTTGATCGTTAAGCTATTGTGCTAGCCTTAATAACGCTCCTGAAGTTGATAGCTTTTAATCCCAAAACCTAACAAAACCCTGTAATTTCTGTACAAATCCCTGTAAACTTAAATCCTCATATTGCACCCAAAATTTGCCAGTGCAGGCTACTAAACATATAGCCCTGTATGACTAACCATCCTGCGAGATGGAGGGGGTTAGCATGTTTACATAATCCCTCCTTACCATGGTAACATTGGTTATATGTATATATATACACTTTATAAATAAAATGGAATATACACTATATTGCATCAGCTTAGATGCGGAATTTGTTTCACTATTAAATATGTGCTTCAACGCGTCAATGCTTACAGAGCGACAAACGTCTAATTTGTATGGTTTACCGTAGAGCATACTGTACTTGCAAACCTTCAGAATTATATATAGCTACTTTTTTTTCGTTTTAATTTCCCGAGGAATAATTGCAGTTTGTAATGATTATTATTTGTTCGTTGCGTTATGTATGAAAGTACCTTTTGCGGGCATAATGTACTTGGTGCCAGGACAGGTACCCTTATATATTTACTTTATTAAATAATATCCACTATAAAGATCATATTTACATCAATTTACAAGGGAAAATACTACATTATACATAGTTTATATAATTCTCCCTAAACCAATTTTTCATATCATCACATAGAATGAGCTTTAAACCCCTCAAATGTTATACTTGATCCTGCCTCGCAAGAACTTCAATATTCTGTCTACTGAGTAACCCTTCCGCCTGCCTATCCACACACAAAAATGTAACGAGAAAACTTTATTAAACGTTATAAGGTGTACTAACGGGCTACTTTCATGAAATAAGGGGGGAAAGACGAAATGTAAGTCTGAATAAAGTGTCAACATACACTGCCTGAACATAATCAAGGCCTAAAGTAAACTCTTAAGTGCATATACACCGAGAAAAGGGACACACATCTCTCAGTGTAAATATCCTGACTGACTTGAATGACGCCAGGGGGAAAGTCTTCCCACTGGGGCAGACAAGTGTCTGAGCTTGCCAGTTACTTCTGTTTATTTACCCTTGATTATAGAGACTGTCCGTATTAACACTCCTTTCATAGGGTATATTTACGCATTGTTTTTACAAGCGGGCGCTAATATGCAGAGCCGAGTCCTTGACTCATCGAAATATCAACATTCCTAAGTGTTTCAAAAACAAATTTCGAGTTGAGGTTCCCAGCCTAGCGTCTATCCTGATTCTTCCAACAGATAACTATATTACAATAGTAACTTCACGCCTATCATGAGATTAAAGAATTTATTTACAAGTCTTGATAAGGTGATTTGTTGGATCATGAATTAGTACATCAATAGTTAAATCATCCCACACCTGTTTTTAGGACGAGGGATCCACTAGGCTTGCCAAATGCCTAAAGCATCTAAAAAAAATTGGCAACAAGTTTCCACACATAAATGAGTAGGTTTCATTTAAACGTTATAATGCCAAAAAGCATACTTTTAGACATTTTTGTTGCAGCATTGATATGCGCATACTAGTATATATAAAATCATGATTGATATGATAGTTTGCAGGGTGAGTGCAATTTTGCAAAGCATCCAGCAGCTCAACTCAATTCAAGGAACCTTTTCACGAGTTCAGCTAGTGCATACAGTCTAGATAAATATATAGCATTCTAACACATCGTGTGTAGTCCTGAACTCAGTCTAGGACTGCACTTCTTGGTGTATATATCCCCCTTGAGACTGGGTGCACACTGTCTCACTTGAGATGCCATATACAGTTATGTCAGCCATTCACTACATCCTCGTAAGTTCTTCTCCTTCTTCCCTACCACTTCAAGTGGTTATACATTTGTTTACTTCAGTTTATTATAGACACCAATGACGTTTATGCTAAGTAATTTTACACATGTATTTTCACGCGTTAATTTTAAGAAATCTTACTTTTAATAAAAAAATAGCCTATAACTGCAATGATTTGCATAACTCACTAATCAATAAAACGTATAATCTACATTATACACTACAGTATATAATTATTATAATTACGTGTTATGTTATATAAAAAGACTGTTGACATATATATATTGTGTAACTAGCTTTATAAAATTGCACTTACTTAGCTAAAATGAATTTTGAGGCTAAGTCCCTGAGCTCATTATTTTCAAACCACTGCCTCCCTTGGAATGGGACTGTGGTGCATAATAAATGAACTAAAAAAAAATCCGACTTTCTCTTATCTCATTAATGTACTGATAATTTTGTGTAAACTAACTTTATCTCATTAATGTACTGATAATTTTGTGTAAACTAACTTTATCTCATTAATGTACTGATAATTTTGTGTAAATTAACTCGAATATAAATGCCCGACCATTGATGAATAAAACGTTTGATATTAATTGAATAATATATGACAAAAAAAATCTCGTCAGCGTCATTTACAAACAATGCTTTATTTGCTAGTAACCCCCCCCCCCAATAGCTTGGCACGCAAACACTAGCGTAAATGATGCCATTCACAGGCTGTAGGTCATGTGAGAGGGAGTAAGGTTAACTCTTCCCACGGTAGCCTGGTTCAACTCGCCCTCCACGAATCCTGTTTACATCTTTCCTTGTACGCTATTTGTCGGGATATGGGGAAGGCAACTCGCAAAAAAAAAACACTAAGCTACTGTTTTTATTGCTCGTAAAGATAGTGGAAGGTATATTATCTCGTGAAAGATGTTCTTGAAGTTTCTTTGGGGGCTATTGTTTTGCGTATAATGTACTTTATGAATTACAGAATAATAATATCGTGATAATTCATGATTTTGAAGGCGCATTGATATATATGTTGCTGCACAAATGTGTTGACCTGTTAAAGGTTCTCCAAATAGAGCATAACTATATATAAGAAACTAGTATACTCCAGTTACACCATACTAGTTTCTTATATATTGGATCATTAAAGTTTTAAGGCACATGACTTTTGACAAATATAGTTTGAACTCACATTATTTGAAATTTTTTAATATTTAATTTACAAGGAACATATATAATATTTCCACATTCATATTTTT